TCCTTCAGCATCAAACTCAGTTGCATGTGAGAAACTATTCACCTTAAAAATTTCAAAACCTTTACACTGTAGCTACACGTACATGTATTATGCCCTTAGATATTATCATGACAAGATTTAACCCTTTAACTCCCATGAGTGAATAGGAAAGAATTTCTCCTTACAATATTGATACAATGTCAACCAGTTAAGTGACAAGAATAAAGAAAAATGTCAATTTGGGGATAATTACTTGATCCAATATTAAATTCTCTGAACTAACATCATAAGAATTGTATGGTTGACAGTAAGGAGAATGACAAATTTGATCTGGGGGTTAAAGGGTTAAGTGTATTGCCAATGTTTTTTGATTCTCACAATGATCCATTTAAGTCACAAACAATGAAAATGTTTCAAGCCTTTACATAACTCAGGATAATTACATTAACAAAGTAAAAACAGACATTATCATATATGCATCTACAACCCATTTATCTTGCAAAAGACACGCACTAATCTTACACAGGATATCCACTCACCAAGCAGTTTTTCTGCAATGCTTTTTCTTCCAATACTCTCCAAAGCATCTGCAAGAATTCCAGCCATTGCACCTTTTCCTTCTTTCTGTTCCCAAATAAGAAGAAGGGCATTGGCTTTGTCTCGATTAAATTTGTACTCCTCATCCAGATTTTGAATCTTAGCTGCTGCAATATCAAGTTTAGGTCCTAACTGACGCCAACAAGTTCCTACATCTTCGCTTATTTCTGCCAGCTTTAATTCTGTTACCACAGATTTCCTTGGGTCAATTGGGTCTCCTGTTAACAATTAAATAACAATGATTCATTACACTTTTGGATTAAGAGTGATATTAGAACACAGAAAGGGGAAATCATGGCATTAGCTGGGACATGTTGATTCCACTAATAATGTAATTCTTGGTTTTATAGGTGAAAGACTCACTGTAAATTCTCATTTGACCTTTTAACCCCCAAGAGTGACTAACATCTAATTTCTCCTTACAATATCACCCCTGAATCAAACATTATGGTCATGAGAATAAAGGAAATGATCACCAACGAAAGAAGCTCTTGATTGTTAAACAAATTCTCCTTGTCAGCACCTTAGGAAATGTATAGAGAGCAGTGCAGAGAATATGCATGGTGATGTTAAGGTGAAAAGGGTTGAGAAATAAAAAAATTTTCCTCTTTTGCAACTTTGTGTTCATTGACAAAGCTAGTCAGTATGCTCTACGCATATGTTTTCAATTTCTCTTTGAAGATCAGATAAATCACAGACTTCTGTTCCAGAGACTATTTATACATAACTTTTATTTGTGTTTGAATTGACTCAATTCACAACATGAACTGGATACCCTCATACCCTTACTATACCCTCATTTACTTTCATTTCCCACTTAGCAGCTACTTAGAAGTAATCACTGATCTCTCAATGGTGCTCTGACTTTCCCAACTGTCCAAAAAAACTGGTTCTTAAACCAGAAAAACAAAAAAGATGATGCCGTGTATGATAAGCTAATTTCCGCTATCTTTGAATGAATTGACGTCACGTAAGATTTGTGGTTACCAATTTGTCTGATGGAACAAAAATCACCAATCAGAGGTACAGACGTTTGACAGCACTTAATTTTAACAGCCGGGTGGATTCCCGTAGCAAATTTGGCATTTCCTTTCGAATCACAACTTCGCTTCTTCATTTCCTTAGCAACAAATGAATGAAGTCTAACACTGCATGATCTCAGTACACCGGTTTCATCAAAAATGTGTGAATGAGAATAAACAAATTCACGCATCTTCCGTCTGATTACATATTTAAATGGTAACCAAATATCTAAAACGCTTTGTTTGACACTTCCTTGCTAAATCATTTGGAAGCAAAACAATTAAGAGCAAAGATAAATGTTGTTAAGATGGTAGAATACCTCAAACACAAACAGCTTAAAGTGCAAAACATTAAAAATGAACCTCATCTTTTCAATAAAAATTCCGGAATTGTTATTCTACAGGGCAAAAGCACAGGATGACGTTACTAAAATATCGGGCGTTCAAGTCAAAACAAATAGAGAGTCTATTGATCACATATATTAGTAGGCTTATCGCTCGCATTTGCCCACAGATTAAACCCCTACCGTAATAGAGTGATATGTAATTTAGGACTAAACAAAAACAAAAAACTAGATATATTGAGCCTATTTGTGGAGCTTACCTGTTCCTTCAACCCCATCATGAATCGCACGTCGGTTCATCATCTCATCTGCTTTGGCGTCCTCATCGATCTTGTTTATATCACCGACTGGACGTGCTGCGCCACAAATGACCTCAGGATCCTCTGTTTCTAAACTTCGTCGACAGTAAGGACACACCGAATGACTTTCCAAATGTCCTTGAGGCGAAGATAATAAAATTGTACTGTCCAAGTTTAATTGCGTTTCGGTTCCAAACGCGAAGCTCTGCAACGTGGCCACGTTGCCAGATTCCATGTTTTGAACCTCCATTTTGCTCCCAAACACCTGAGCTCCGCCGTCTTCTTCGCCTCCTAAAGCGTATGCAAACTGAGAGTCAATGAAGGCGTCCACGTTGTCAAGCGGACCGTACCTTTCAAAGAATTCATCGAAATCGAAGTCGGAGTTAGCTTCTCGCGGAGTTAGGGAGGCCATCTTTTCTTCGCTCGAACGAAAAGAGTTGGTCATTGTTTTTGCTTCCTCCTTGACTTAAGCGAAATTCGATTAACAATACTTATAATTTAATCAAAAGACCGTGATTTTAAGAAAAAAATCAAATAAACAGAAAAACTGTCACGCTCAAATTACTGTAGCTAGGCGAAACATCAAGCAGCTTCGAAATTCGTATTCAGCACAAGTTGTTTACTAGAAGCTGCAAACACGGAAATGCCAAATCATGAACACGCGTACTAAAATCCCAGTGCCCAACAAATCCGCCCACACTTCATTTGAAAACTACGGGCAAATATATTACAACGTGCCAGCGCTTTCCATACGACAGCCTACAGATTGCAAGAAACGGAAGAATGAATAAATGGTCGAGTCATCGATTTAAATAGCCACCAATCAGGTGTGTGCTTGAGGACGAGCCCGAACACAGATCGGAGTTCCCGCCCAACACATCAACCTAAACAAAATCGATCAAATACTCTATATCAAGACAAGTACTTGGAGGCCGGGTAAAATGACCACGCTTTAGAAACGTTTGTAAACAATTAGGAAAAAGAAAATAAACAACAACTAAAACAACCACCATAGCAATTAAGAGAAAGAGCATCGACAACAGAACTTAAAATTACCGAGATAAGAGAGTCTGTTGTAGAAAGATTCAGCAGCTCACTTCATGATCTTCTGTGTATGTAACGATTTGTAGGAATGAGAAACACACGCAAAAAATGCCGAAAATTTACAATTTTGCAAGGCTCAGACAAACGCGCCTACACAATGAAATGTAAGTGATATTGCGTGAAACTCGTGATAGCACTGACAGATCATTATTTTGGTGGTAAGATTAACATAAGAATTATATATAGGTATCTATAATTATATCAAAATTGAAGTTCAAATATCAAATCAAAACCGCAACATAGACATGGATCATACGTACAGCCGTTTTCTCTCAGCTGTTTCTTCGGTGCAGGTCTGCGGTTCCGTAATGATATGTATAGCTTAACTTCGGTAGGATGGGGTGGGGTGGGGTGAGCGTAGAGGCGGAATATGCGAAAGTTCCTCGTTGCATCCAATGTTTACCTATAATTGTGGTCAAGTTTCTCTTCAAAGAAAAGAAATAATGATGATGATAAAACAAACAACATAGAATGGAAAATTAAAAAGAAAAATTAAGTGACCCTCGAAGTCGCTGTTCAGTGATTCGCAATACGATTTTTTTAGAACTGGCTTTGAAAATTTTCAAATATCGCTTAACGGCTTCCGAAAAAAAAAACCAAGCAAACATCGGACAAAGTGGAAACCGATTTAAAGATGCTTTGTAATGGAGTTTAAATAGATTATTTATTCAAGTGTTCTATCCAGTAAAAGGGAAAGAAACTAAAACATTAGGTAAGTTCGATGGAGTCGTAAATCTTCCCGAGTTCTCACCTATTACCTCATCACGCCTTACCACCCCCAGCAGTCGACCACCCCGCCCCCGCTTCCCGCCGCTGCCTCTGCCTTGCCACGGTCTAGACTGAGTCCAGACTTGGTCCAAATATATCGTGTTCTTTGCCCGATGAGACTAGTGACATCTGAAAAATGTATAAATTTGGAAAGACAGACTATTAGCTATGGAAAATATTTCCTTAAAAGAATGCATAATACCAGTGCGTTGTCCAAACGCAGGTACCTGCTAATATTAGTGGTTCGGCACCGACAAGGCATCGACAATTAAAATAAAAATATTGAATGCGTAACGGCAAGAATTTGAGACATTGTGAAATATTGATAAACAAACAACCAGCCTAAATCGGAAACAAGTCGCTAGTATTTGCGGTTTTTCCACAGTACGTGCCAAAATCTCCAACATACATTTACAACATTAACATGCACTCAATACAGGATGGTAAATATGTGGTCTTCCGAGGGGCGCAAATAAGGCGGCCGGAAGATTATGTGCAAACATCTTCCAGTTACGGTAAAAAAAGTGATTAGTTAAGCATCAGAACTTGAACAAGTAGCTTTTATACTTAACGCATTTTTTATTCTTCAAACGGCTCAAGAGACAAACTTTTACGCTGGGCAAAAAATCTTAAAATATTTTTACATGCGTGGCATTCTCAGCCGGCATTTTAGAGTTGCGTGAAAAACGTAGTAAAAAAATTTGAAACAGTTCTACTCTCGAAATGGAAAACACCATAACAAAACAAAAACGTGCGAAGAAGTCAAATTTTAAGGGATGATGGCCGCTGGAGTTTAAAAACTGATGACGTCCTTCGAATTTCTTATAGGGTGAGGATACAAGGCTCGATCGCATAACAGACCCTACGCTAAATCAAACTTTAAGAAATTCAGAGCAAACATATTTTATCGATATACCTAATGTGCTATTTTCAAGGTTTCATTGGAGTAGATGATCTCATGCTGTAGCGATAAATAAGCCAAAACGCAGGGTTGTTAAAATAATGGATATTATATACAATTTACAATGTTTTCACATTTGAAAGTCCCATAAGTATATTACAAGTATATTATTCTTACGCGTGAATTCAATGGATCCCGAAAAAAGGATACCTTTTAACTTTTACAAATATGTATTTATCTACAACTGTTATAAAAGCCTAAATTTTCAGTTCAGACAATTCGATGATCTACAAATCTTGTAAAGTTCACGTGCTATCTATGAAAAACTAATTGAAATTTCAAAATGGCAAAAATTTTAATTGATAGATTCTTCAAATATGGAATTAGCCTCCTTTCATACCATGCATTGATGCTTTTGACTAAAGATATGTTCCGCGCGTCAGCCAGAAGCTGAAGAGAATCAAGGTATCAGTGTTAAACCATACAATTTCTAGTTTTAGTTTCTCTCGTAGTAAGTCGTTTTGCTGATCAGTCATTACGTCTTTGTACTGCTGTGAAGGCCGTATAACTCATTGGGTTAATTACGTCACCTTCGTTAAATAAAGAATATTGTAATGTATTGTAGAATGGGAAAGATAACTTTGACAAAAGTAAGCGCATAAAGAGTGGAAGCGTCACTGCCTGTTAAAAGTGAAAACGGGGCTCTGGAGAAGTTACCCGCGTTTGATTTGGCTGGTGATAATTTCCTGCTAGAAGTTTCTCTTTTTGAGAGATGGGAATTTGTTGCAAAATAGTCCTCGACTTAAAGAGTTCGACCCAGTTTTCCTGATGCGCTCGATAGCTCAGGCAACGGAAGTCGTGTCCAGGTTATCCCGTGTGCTTCTAAGTCCTCATTTCTCGACAGGATGTGTTTGTTGCGAGAATCTTCATCATGTTTAAACCTACTCTGGCTAAAATACGATAACTACGTATATCTACGCCATTTTAGCTCTCCTCTAAGATCTAGGAACTGCTACAATAAGACTTTGTAAGCGATGACTAGCTGGTTAAATTTTTGTTAACTACTCGTTCAATTTAAACGGAACCCCTGGGGGTCTTTGACAGAGTAGGACACCAGGCGACATGAGTTATGTTGACTTCCTATTCTTTTGAAAGGGTTCTTCAACTTTGTCCCCTTGAACTGCAAGGAAAAAAAAAAAAGGATCACTTTTCATGAGAATTAAAATTTTGGCAGAAAAACAATAGAGGACTGGGAAGTTAGCGCATGCCCATAAGTCACAGCTCAGTGGCCCTGGTAATGCGTTAGGGCCTTACTCACTGGATTTGGGATACACCCTTCATGTGTTTCGTCGTCGCTTGTTGTAGCTGCCGTTGTGCTTGTGTTCTGTTCACGTGGATATGAATGGTATCGTTGCAAGTTCTAAGTATCAGAGGAAAAAGTCTAACATTACTTAAAATTTTAATGGTCTTCTCCCTTTTCTAGTTAGACATTCTTCATACGCTATAGCCTACGTGTGGCCTTACCTTTCCCCCATAAGGCTTTACCTTTGGGGGGGGGGGGGGGGGGAGGTACGGCTACACGTAAGCTTCATACGCTAACCCAGATATTCAAAGAATTGGGTTCACAATTCAGTGTGTGTTGTAACTTTTAACCCTTTTAACCCTTTCATCCCCAGGATCTCATTGGTAATTCTCCTTGGCGTCTGTCATACAATTACTACGATGTTGTTTGGGAGAATTTGGTGTTGGATCAACTGAAAATCCTTTAATTGATAATTTCTTCATTCTCATCACTAACCTGCTTGATATTGCATTGACATTGTAAGGAGAAATTATGTCTTGGTCACTCATAGGTATTAAAGGGATAAGGGAAAGTTGAGGAGATACATGATAACTTAATTCTAACATCCTTCGCTTCTTCCTTTCTTGCTATTATAAGTTCAATGGTGTAGCCTCCTTTGTAAGTCCTTTTTAAGTAAAAGGAAAACTGGTGAGAACTGCTTGACACAGTGACGACACTCCTTTTGAAAAAGCCTGGCTACGCCCCTGAAGTTTTATTCAGTGTTTGCCGTCGTTTTTCTATGATCTCTCTCGTGATCACTGATAAATTAATTCTTGTAACAAAACGTATTTTAGTAAGGAAGCTCAGGTAGTAATTCTGCTTCGTGGTTTCTTTAAGTTTCCAAACCATTTTGCCACTTTTTTGTTCTCAGTAGATCTGTAATTAAACTTTGAGTGGCATTTCAAGGTAAATATGAAAATAAACAGACAAGCAAACCAATTAATAAAAAAAAAAAATTTAAAAAAACCCAGTGTCCTTTGGCTTGTCTGCGAATAAAAATGGTCATTGTTGACGTGGCAAACTGCTCGGGGACGACGGAAATGAAAAAGACGGAGGAAAGGTTCTTCGGAGTAAGGTACGAGTAAACATGAGAAGGTAAAGTGATTCGCTGCTAAACCTATCTCACCTTTTCAGAGTCAGCAGAACATCCACTTGCTCCATAGGGTTCAGAGCATGTTACTTTTGGACGACTCTCATACTGAAGTTTAAAGAAGACACACAAATAATTTCTTTTCACAAATGTGAATCATTTTATGCGCCAGAGTTTTAGTTTCTGATTTCATCGTGAGTGCACAACTTATTTGTGATCACAATGTCAGTGTTCGAATTTTCGGTCACGAACTTACCCAAGTCTATGTATGCCTGGTAGCTGTACATTCCCTAATTTTTATGCTTTTTCGTTCACCTATCCTATCAGCTTATTCCTTTGTTTCTTTGGTGATCGTTTCTTTGTTTGTTTTTTTGCTGGTTTATTTGCTATAAACAAGTAAAGGACGTTACTGAGTCATAAAGAGAAAACATGCAAAACTGTTGATGCCATTCCTACGATCTTTTTGGTCCGTTGAAAATTTAGAGAGACGTCCATCGTGCGGCGATAGTTCAGAGCACTGAAGAAGAAATAGAAAGTTGTGTAGATTCGACCCCTGTTTGGAGATCTCAGGATTTCTTTCTTTCTAACATGAGTGATGTGAGCTATTTGAGAAACATGATTTTCATATTTTAAACAAATCGTGTATCCCTACCGGTGAGAACAGACCTCTCCACAGATTCTCCAATCTATTAACCAGCCTTTGTCGGTTACTCTGGAGCTCTCTCAGTTTAGAAAGTTCGCTTTGCTCCTCGCCTGTCATTTCTTTTTCGACTGATGTTAACTCCTCCACCCGGTGTATCAAATCGTTGTGCTCAGCTCGAAGACCATGATACGCGAAGTCATAAAATTCGCGTTTCACATCCTCGCTGCATTTGCAGGACTTGGTAACCATGGACAGAGTGGTGCTGTATAACTCTTGCAGCGTCATACTCAGTCTGATCAGTAGGTCTATCATGACAGAAGTCTTAAGTTTGTCCTCTTTTACTTCTGAAACTTGCAGCGGAGATATCACGCGCTCGATGAGTTGTTCATTGAGAAGCCTTAGCTGAACAACGATCCCTTGTTCTGTAGTCTCATCTCTGGTGTTTTCTGATTCCTCCTCTCGTGGTGAATCCAAACCAGTTTTGACATCCTACGAAGAAAACAGAAAGCGATGTTAGACGCCCATTTTCAGTGAGGGAATAGTGGTGCACAATATCATTACCGAAACTTGCAGCGGAGATATCACGACCTCGTAGAGTCGTTCACTGAGAAGCCTCAACTGAACAGCGATCTCTCGTTCTTTATTAGTCTGATCTCTACTGTGATATTAAACGCCCATTTTTAATGAAGGAATGGTGGTGCACAGAAATCATTCCAAGGGGTAAATCTTAAAATAGAAAAGAAGTAAGGTCCACCACTACTTTTGTTAAAAGGAAGTGAAAGTTTTTACTACGAAGGGGGCGGCTTTTATCTATCGCAGGAGGGGGGTGGGGGT